CCCCCCTGGATTCCAGCCAAGGCTGTTCAGGCGGGACCATGGTGCTCATTAAGCGTGAAGCGGAGGAGGGCACACAGTGGGCCACTCTTCTGGGGGGCGGGCCCTCCGGTGGGGGGTTGTGCAGATCACTTGCACTTCCTGCTCTATTCTCTTCTGCCTACCTGCCAGGTGGAGGTGCCCACAGCTGAAGGGGTACAATGACACCCAGGGAAAAGGAGGCCTGCAGGGGTAACTGACACCTTGAAGGTTTCCACGTGGCCCAGCCCAGCCAGGGTAGGAGACCCAGCACGCGAGCAGGGCAGGAGCTGCTCGCCAACCCCTGGCTGTGCCCAAGTGGCGTTAGAAGTCCTACTGTGTTTGCATTCGTGCTGCATTTCAGCTGCTGCACATAACCAGGCCAGAGCCGTTAGGCAAGGCTGGCCATGCTGCCTGCCTGCACCCGTGACCGGCCCTCTGCATATGGGTCGTCGTGCCCAGCCTGGGCTGCTGCTACAGCTGCGTCTGGGTTGGTGATTTGCTTGGGTTTTGCCTGTTGGCTGCGCACGGTACGGGCTGGGGACTCTGCTGCTGTTGGACGCCTGCGACCTTGTTGATCGCTTCCGCAACCTTGGAAACCTGAGTAGATGCGAGGCTTGGCCTTGGGCTTGGACGAAGCCCCACGTTGGGAGCCCCTGGTGGCTCTAGTGGAAGACACCCTAGTCCCCAGCTAGAGGGGATGAGACCCAGGCTCCATGCAGCCCAGAGCAAGGGCAAGTGACCGGGAGGACCGAGCTGGAGAAGGCAGCAGGGGATGGGAGCTGCTCTGTACATATTTGGGGTTTATAATGTCTCTAAATTTAAGAGAACAGGTGTTGATTTATTAAAGGGACAGGCAGTTAGTAGTGTTAAACAGTGCATGTGAGGGAAAGTTTTATGTTTTTCATGGTGTTGACATTATTTGGACTATATTGTGTCTGTCTTCTGGTCTCCGTGGTACCCCAACTGGTAAGGAAGCTTCATTGCGTAACAGGGCATCGTTCGAGATCAGATTTAGAAGAAGGGGTGACCTCTGGCCTACTTTATAGTGTGACCTTGGGATTGACTTAATGTCCTGAAGCATTTCGGTGACTTCTAGGAAAAAGCCAAGACCCATCTCACTGGTCCCAGGTGAGTATATAATGAGGAGGTCATGACACGGAGCCCAAAAGTACCCCATGAAGACGCAGGTAAGATGCACGAGCTGCTGTTGTCAAGAGGGACAGAACTTCCTGCTGGACCATGATCCTGGCAGTTCGGCCTTTAGGAGGAGGAACAAATGTGGGGAGAGCTGGGCAGGTACTTAGGTTACCTTAAGGGAGCAGCCCCGTGACTGCGAACGAGCACACACACAGCGGGGCCAGCTACCACGGGTGGAGTTTGGGCGGGAAGAGGGGAGAGATCTTAGCAGCCGTCCCTACCATCTTGCAACCAGAGCTGTAAGCCGGAGATCCCCTCTGCTTGGAAAGCCTTAGGTTAGGGGCTTAGAGATGAAGACACAGATCGGGCTCTGGAGAAGGCAACACAGCACCGATTGTTGGGCCGGCAGCAAAAGCTTGCCTGTGTGGGGAGAGGGCTGGGGTTTAGGATAATTCCATCACCCACCACGTGTGGACAGAGCTGATGACTGGTGTGGTCTCAGGGTCCCAACGTCGGGTGTGGCCGTTGGTAGAGCACAGACGCAGTAAAGGGGGTGGGGTAACACCAGCTCCTCTGTGGCATCAGTAACTCCTTTGCATAACCAAGTAACAATGTCCTGGTTGGTTTCATTATCAAAGCCAACCTACACATCATAGAAATTTTGGAAAATAAAGTAGTAGAAAGAGGTACAATGTTAACATTTTGGTGTTTCCCCTAGTCTCTCCCTGCCCCCCGCCCCCCATGGTTTCTCTGCTTTTTGTTTTAACGTAGTTGTGATACTACCTACTGTAATGACACAACATCGTGTATTTTCATTATGTCACGGGCATTTCCCCGTGTTATTTCTAATTTTATGCTGAAAGGCCGTGTACTCCTCCGTCAAGCAGTGCCAATGGTTGATCACCAATGCTCTTACTAATTTTTCACCATTAGAAATTGATGAATATCTTTGTGCATAAAGTTTTCCCCAATGTCAAGTTATTTCCTTAGGGTAGATTCTCAGAGGTGGGATTTATTGAGTTAAAGAATATGAAAACTTGTGAGGCCATGATTACATACTGACAAATGGTCTCCAGAAATGTTTGTACCCATTTACACTGCCACCAGCAAAGATACATGTGCTCATTTTACCATCTTGCCAGTACTGAGTATTCTCATCTGGCCAAACACTTGCTCATCTGATCGTGAAAAAAATTGCATTGTATTTTAGTTTGCATTTTTTCGATTTCTAGCAAAGTAGAACATCTTTTCATGTCAAGCAGTTGTATTTCTTTTGTGGATTGTTGGTGTCCTCTGCTCTTATCTACTGGGGGTCTGATAAATTTGTATGAGCTCGTTATATATTAAAGATATTAACCTGCTGTGTGTCATACTTGTTGCACATGTTTCCACCTTTTTACTTTTTTGTGCGTTTTACTGAAATTTTAACTTGATACGTAGCTGATCCATTCCCTCACTTGGCCCTGTGCCCACCAGACTCAACACAAGGCAGGCACGTATATTTGTCCCCTTTGTTCACAGCTGTACCACTGCACTGGAAGCAATGGCTGACGCATAGTAGGTACTCCACAAACGTTTGTGAGACTGGCGTGGATGGATGTGCTGGGCATCCATGGTGCGTCACACACACCACCCCCGCCCCCAAAGTGCTTGTGAACCAAGAACAGTTCACAGACCTTTTGGTCCCAGAATCCCTTTGCACCATTAAAATCCTTTAGGACCCCGAGGAGCTTCTGCTAACGTAGATTTTGCTTATCAATATTTACCATGTTACAAATTAAAATGGAGAATGTTTCAAAATACTATTTTGAAAATAAACTCATTACCTGACAACACGAATAGCATATTTTAAAGAAAACT